TCTTCCCAGATGAGGAAGATCGGTCGCCGGCCTCTGGACGGCCGCTCACAGCGGCTCTTGGCAGCTCACCGGCTGCCGGCCGCTCACGCTGGCTGCAGGCCACACACGGTAGCTTATGGCAGCCCACTGCAGCAGGGGCTGCAGCCTACGCCATCACCCGTGACTCATGGCAGCCCAGCTCCAGGTTGAGCTGTTGTTCACCATCTTAGCTGTAGAGGGTAGTGTCACTGGCCCTCATGTGGGATCCAAACTGGGGCCCTGCTGCTCAGAGCTGGCGTCCCAAGCCAGCTGTTAACCAACGCGCCACTCGGCTGGCCCTGTGGTTTGTTGTTGTTGTTTTTTTTTTCCTTGTTTTTATCTCAAGTCTTTGTAGTGATTTTTCGTCACTCCCACTTCCCATCCCCACCCCCCATGACCTGGGATTTAATTCTCAAGGGGGAGTGTGTGATTTCGGAAATGACAGTGTTTGCTTTATATAGGAAGCAACCTGGTGATACGGAAGAAACACAGTTTGGGAGCCAGAGAGACCCCTGTTTGAAATCTGATTTTTGCCACAGCTTTGTGACCTTCTTTGAGTCACCTTCCAACGTTCAGCTTTCTGATTCATATAAGAAGTAGAAGACAAAACGTGTATGCATGCATGACACATCATGGGGGATCAGAACCTGGAAGCAGCTATCGCCGTCATTACTAGTCTTTTCTCTCTTTCTAAAAGCAAATGTGGAGATTTGGGACCTAATCATTACTGTGTTTGTTTTCATAGGTAGAGGAAGTCAGAGATGCCATGGAGAATGAAATGAGAACCCAACTTCGTCGACAGGCTGCTGCTCACACTGATCACTTACGAGATGTCCTCAGGGTTCAAGAACAGGAACTGAAACATGAATTTGAACAGGTGAGGACCTGTTGGTAAGCACTGACCCCTCCCTTCCACCTCTTTTTCCCCCTTTCTGTTAATAACAGTCCTCCTTGCCTTTTAACGTGCTCTGTCCGTCATACTCTCTGAGGGTATGGAAGAATGGGGAAAGATTTCTAATAGTACCTACCCTTGGTGAAGAGGGGATTTTGTATATTTGGAGAACTGCTCCTTTTTATATAAAGCTGTACCTATGTGTTATTGATCAGATAAGTTTTGTACCTATGTCCTTGTCATTGGGAGCCTTCAAAGCATTAGGGAGAGTTGGTACGTGGCGTTGCAGGAATGCAGGTAATAATACTTGACACATATAATGAATGAATGAATGAATCCATAGATAGCAGTGCACAGATATTATGAAGTGCCAGCCCTATGCCAGGCAGTGCCTACTATGTGCTCAGATGCAGTGGTGTTCAATGCAGACAATCAGCAGTAAACAAGTAAACAAAGTGGACCTCTCAGACTGTGATACTTGCTTTTAAGAAAATAAATAAGAGGGCCGGCCGAGTGGCTCAGTTGGTTAAGAGATCACTCAAGAGTGCGAGCTCTGAGCAACAGGGTCACCACCGGTTTGATTCACGGCCCAAGCTGAGCTGCTGCTGAGCTGTCAACAGTTGGCAGGATGGCTCAGCTAAAATAGATAGATAGATAGATAGATAGATAGATAGATAGATAGATAGATAGATAGGGCACTATGAGAAAATTGACACTACTTTATCTCCACAAACTCCTGTGGATTATATAGTAGTTCTTAGATTTTTATATTTGAGGAAACTAACTTCCCAGAGATGTTAAGTTTAGAATTCATCAGGATACCTTTAATCATAATTAGTTTCTACTGAGCAAGTCATTTATATTATTATTTTGTCTCAAGAAGGAAATAAGGTTTTCCACATAAGAAAATCTTCCAGAAAATTGAAATTTATGCCAATATGAAAAGGCACTTTAAATTCTATTTGATAGGTATTTTTCTGAGAAAAAAAAAAAAGAATGAATATACAAGCTCTTAAATAGTAGATATTGAATTCAGTTTAATCCATTATGTTTGTGTGGCAGTACAGTTACTTTTTTTTTTTTTTAAGATTTTTATTGGGAAATTGGGGGAAGGGCAACAGACAAGTTGCTGTCCTTTTGTTCTTCAGACTAGTTGTGGAGGACGTTGCTTCACTGGCCCAAGTTGGCACCATCATTGCGCTCTTCCCAGG